TCTTTGGTACAGAGGGTGACACACACACACACACACACCAGGCAGCAAGTTGTCAGCAACCTCGGGGGAGGATACGGAAGGATACAGTGCGTGGACAGATACTGCGAGGGCATGGAAGCAAGTGCAGAGCCGTTGTGGAGGAAGAGCTGGTGTCTTTACAAGTTTTCCTTCCATCACCCACACATACACGGAACAAGCGTAAAGAGGGCAGAAGGCACAGAGACAGGTCTCTCGCGTTTGTATCTGCAGGTAATCTGCTCCCAGTACTGAATCCGTGCTCTTGCCCCCCCCACCTTTGATATCACGGTCGAATTTCCTTGACATGACCCCGCTAAAGTCTTCAAAGCAAACCCGAATAGCATCCGCTTGCAGGCTAAAGAGATATCTGAATTTCGCGTAGTTCCCACATCTGCTGCGAACCATATCCGCAGAGCTTTGTTCAACTGGAACATATTCCCTTTATGGTTTGGCATTTGGGGTTTGAGTTCATGATGGTTCATGGCAAAAAGCAAGAAAATCCAGCCGCATCACGAGTAAATGCACTTTTCTTCTGGGATTGAGGCCTACTGCTTCACCTTCAAATCGAAAGTGTAACGTTGGGACACTGCACACATAAATGCCCACACAATGCAGCCGAAGCTCTCTCCAACCATTTGGCTCCATCCACCTGGAGGCTCTCAAAAGGTTTTCGTCTTCCGGGGTATGACAAGGTCACCCAAAGGGTCCAAAGTACCTATATGGTACAAAGTATGGTTTCTGTAATAGAAACCTCCCTTATGGTTTGGGCAAGTATTCCCTATATGGGTACTTTGGACCCTTTGGGTCAGGGATCCGAGGGCCTGGGGGCCACATTGGGTCCAACGTGGTTTTCAAGAATACCACCCGCCTTGCTCACGTTAGCCAGGAAGCCAAAGATGTAGAATGTTGAAAAGCTGACATCCAGAAACCTAAGCTGGACGGCTGTTTTTTCAGAACATTTTGTTTAACCTACCCTTGTCGAGCCTCAGGGCACTGTCCTGTGGAGTCTTGTTGAGGCTCGAGGGACGAAACGACTGGCATCAGGGTCTTTAGACTATGTAACCCGACGGCTCAAGCCTGCTTAGTCTCATCTTAAAAGGGCACTCAAAACGCCCAAACCGTACACATATTGCGAGAAGCCATCAGACGCACCGACGCACCTCTACTCTTCCTATGTAGTGTTTCCGGGGTACGGATCATTCAAAGAAGAGAGGCCGGAAGTGTAAACGCTTCGTCTGCAAGCTTAATCCTAACCCGCCAGCCCTGTCCCTCCATGGGTAGGTTAGTGCAGGCGCACGCCAAGTCTGTGAAGTCGACACGTTCGGTTGCGCAGTGCTGTCACTAAGCAAACCGAACTACAGAAGCCTGACCCCGCAGGCATGCTTTCAAAAGGCGGCCTTGCACCTTCCACGTGAAGGGGCTTGCTCCAGTATGTTCCAAACTCTTCCCAGCTTCAGCCTACATTGAGCCCATACTTCAAAACCCCATCCTTTCCGCTGCTTCCGAGCCATGGACTTGTCTTCTTTCCGGATTCTTCGGCTCCTTGCTGTACGATGTCGGGTTGATTGCTTGTGGGCTCCACATGAACCCACGTGTGTTCTTCGGAAGGATGCCTGGAAACTGACCGCTGCTTTTGGGACCAGTTCACGCATTCTTTAGACTTGTGGTGCCTGCCACCACATGATGCAGACACCACCAAGTTTTAATCGGGCAGCATTGTGGCAATCGCTGGCCCAAGACCAACCTGCGCTTTTGACACCAGACACGCTCTCAATATGCCCTTGCGCGGAATAAGCGTCAAGGATTGTGCTGTGTCAGTTGGGCAAGCCCTCGGCCACGCGACCTTTCTGTCAACAAGAGAGGCACTAATTCTCGGTCGGAAACCTCTGACAACCTGACACAACAACGGGCTAAACTTCGGCTTGGTTTGGCTGGCCGCGTTTTTTGGTCAGATAACTGTACTATAACGCGTTACAACACATTTACAGGAGCGGGATCGTACCTTGAACCCTAAAGCCCTGAGCCCTGCAGGATCCCTAAGCATCACGAAAGCCTGACCTCTCAGCCCAGAAAAGCCAAGCGGCCAAAGGAACCAAAAGAGCACGCTCTTGCAGCGCCACCACCGCAGCTGCCAAGCCTTCTCCTCGTTTCAGGAGTGCTTGAAAACCCCTTGGAGATTCGCAAACCCTCCCGATGCAATCACCCCTTACTACCTTTGCCTCTTTCGTCCAGGACTTGCGGACCACAACCGACCGCCGCTGGATGATTGCGAGGAATATGATGAGCACGTCCCCCATGCAGGCAGACAAAATGCCTTCAGGACATGTATGAGAGAACGAGACGGCCCTTCACAGAAGAACGTCACATACAAAGACAGCGACAAATTGCTGAGGAACACCTATGAGGGCCGGCATGTGACAACCCTATTTAGGTGAGCGTCACATAGGGACTCCTCGAGCAGGCCGACTACTGTTTACTTTTAGCCCATGACTGCCAAAAAGGCGGCTACATGCGCAGATGCTGGAAAACCATGCTGAGCCAGTCAGAGCGCCGACTATGGCTGCGCGCAACATACGCTCTCCGAAGTTTTGCGGCGGTGCGCATGCTGAGTCTGAGTCGGGCGTTGTGGAAGTGCTGATGAAGAAGAGAGCATTGACGGCACCCGCTGACACCAGCTTGAGAATGATGAGCGCGGCGCGGACTGCATGCGACCTGAATAAGCTCACATACTGCATGGTGATCCACGGGTGCATAGCACGTACCAGCACGAAGACGCGCTTGTACCAAGGACTTCTCAGAAACTCATCCACCGTGCTGGCTTTGGCAGTCTTGAGCACCACCCATTCGTCGGCATGCATGCGACTTTCCCTGGCCACATACTTCTTCACGGTCACGGACACCCCGTGGCTCTCCGATGTTCGCATGTGCCTGACAAGGAGAAGAAAAGGCTTTAGGTTGGGTACTGCCCACCTCTAACAGTCTATATTACGGGGTTACAGAGCTGGGGCAATACCTAAGTGTCAGGCCATTCGGACTGCACAGCTTTTTGGCTAGCGACTGGGACCTGAAAGGGTCCGAGTATTTTCGGGCTTGAAAACATGGTAACTTGCTGTGGGATATACATGTAAACTCATATATGGGATCCAAAACTGTCGCGTCAGAAATGCTTGAAGCCATGTCTGGAATTTTACGCACAAACCCCTTGACTCGTCAGATCCCTGAATGAGGTTATACTCGTCAATTGTGCGCAAGTGTAGTAAAGTACGACCTAGGTAGCGATATTTCTTCCCCTAAGGATCCAAATACGCAAATACTACCTACATTGGGCCCTAAAGTCTGTAAATATGACCTACACTAAGCTATTTGAATCCCTAGTGATCCCTAGTGTGGGAGGTCTTAGTAGGGCGTCGTAGGAACGATGTGGGTAGACATACCATTCCTCCCACATGTCAAGCATGATTGATGTGCTGGGCAACCCCTGTGGAGCCGTATGTGGAAGCTACAGCATCGAAAAAGCAATAAACTCACTGGAATATGCTAGATGTTGTCCCACTCGCGCTTTCAAAGATGGGATTGCAAAAACAAAATGCAACCCTACCTTTAAAATTTAATGGGGGCAGCAGAAAATCTGAGGACCCCAACTAACGAGCTGTAGTTAGGGTAGTTCACGGGTTTAGGGTAGTTTAGGGGTTAAGCGTTGGCTTAGAACTTACTCCAAGGATCCTCCAGTGGCTCGGGTTAAGGGTAACTGCCAGCACAAAGCCTGACATTTCAGCTGCTATTCGGCCATTTCTGGCTACTGATGCGAAGATTTATAGCACTCAAGAAGTCATACTACTGATTACCAAAACACCTTTAGCACCAGTATGCACCTGTGACTCTAGCTAGTTACTGACTGCTGCACAAGAGATTTTAAATCTTGTTCAACCCTCAGGGGAGAAGTTAAAATGTCACAAACCCCGTTAGACCCTTGACCCTGAACCGTGCACCCTGACCCCTGTGCAAAATGACAAGCCGCTCTTGGCCAATGTGGGTTTCTGCTGCGCGCATGCTCTGCCCATCCGTACCTTGCTGGTGGGTAATGGAGAGCTTCACAACTTGAACGGGGAATGGAAGCGATGATTCTTTTGGAGTTGAGAATTAGGATACCGCTCAGGGAGCTAGTCAAGGACTTCCAAAGGTATCCATGCCTCTTCCCCATTTCACACGAGCAAGGTGCGGCTGTAGTATGCATAGACCGAAGAGACACAGCGATTGACAGCCACCACCTGAGCGACCTGCACAGATGCTCGTCTGAGGGACATCTGAGGGGGCAGTGCTTCAAATCTCAAAAACATTTAGGGATTTTGGGATGGACCCGCAAAGGTTTTACCCCTAAACAGCCTTCTCCAGAAGGCACCCAATATTACCCCCAACAGAACCCTACCAACCCCCAAGGCTCAGCTGGATCCCCTGTAAGGGAACCCCAAACCGTTAGACAACAATAGGTACTGGTAACCCCTTCATACTCATATAAAGGACCCCTTCCACCCGTACTGTATCAAATATATCTCTCAAAATATGATGTCTCTTATGGGAAATACTTAATAAACGATATGAAACGTGCTGTGTGGTTCCTTACTTACATCATGTATAACCAGGACCTGTGCCAAGACAGCGCTTCAGCAAATAAGCCGTACCAAATACAGCAATAAATTGTGAAGATTACAAACGCGCGCCGGACATCCGCGGCGCCCGCTCCAAATGAAGACGGCCTTCAACCTAAATTGCCTCCAAGAACCGGAATGCCCAAACATACAAAACACAGCGCGAATAGGTGCAGATGGACTGAATGCAGGTTCGCGTCTGGAAGCGCAAAATGCTAAAGCAGAGAGGCACAATGCAGTTGAATGCTTCAAGCTCTTAATCCGAAAGCCGTCACCCTCCACGACAACTTACTGCGGCTGGTAGGGAACAAGGGAACATACTCCCTGTATGATCTCTAGATATACTGTACTATATTCCTTTATTCCCTTCTAGCCCCCAGTAAGAGACGCAGTCTAGATCTTGATGCCTAGACTGCTTCAGGGTTAGCTCCCGCATATAGACCCATAATAATCCCCATAGAATCCTTCCATGGTGTCCCATATGGTTCTAGGGGAAACCCTAAACCCTAGTTTGGCCCTGCCTTGGGATGCATCATGTCGGCAAGGAAATCGGCATCTGGCAGGTCAAACCTTTGCCAACAGCGATATATGGGGGTCAGCAGGGCCATAGTATACTGGGGTCTACATGGGACCCCCCTTTAATGGAAAACCAGATGCGTGGTCGAAGGTTGTGGTTGGGTCACTTGGCAAGGGCAATTAGTTTCTGATGGTTAGAACTGGATTGGAACGGAGAAATGGATCCTTACAGTAGCCCCCAAAAAAATCGCTCGTCGGAGTCCCATTACAGTATCCCTCATCCCCTACTCAAAAAAAGGCGCGAATAAATATCTTCCCATCCCAACCCGTGAGAAAATAAGATAGGGATCATTATATTAGCCTACTAATATAATAATGCAATAATATAGTAATATATTCATATAGTAACAGAAGAATATACTAAACTAATATACTAAAAAAGTATAGGAATATAATAGTACAATGATTCAAAGGAGGGTCTGGGGTCAGGTACCTGGGCAGGTCAGATACCCGGCAACCCGAGGAGATAAGACGACAAAGCAACTCTCGACAGGTGCGGGGTACCTGCCAGATATGACACTTGGGACCCCCCCAAAATGGTACCCTGAGGGAACCTCCATATAGTCGCCAGGCGCCATGAGAGGATCTTGGATAGCTTCTTCTTATACACAGGGTACTAGAGACCTTCAGGTAAACATGCTACCCAATTGGCAATCTGAAGCCTGCGTGTGGGCAATGCATGATTCATGGCTGTGGTCTGCGAGCCTGCGGATTAGCCCTCCCCTTGTCTCCAAACCCAAGACTCCGCCTGACAACGCTCCCTCTCCCGCCTGCTCCAACCCTGAGAGGCTTTGGCCCTACAACTACAACATAATAGTTTCTACTTTCTTTCCATTATCTCAATAAAAACCCCTATAGATAACCACCCCATATACCCCCAATATAACCCTAATATCTAAAAACACTGTTGGCTATGTGGGTTGAAGGAATAGATCCCCAAAAGTGGCTCTAAATCAACTAATTCTTGTCCCCACTAGCCACCAGTAAGAACACTCCCTCGGCCCCTCAAACCCGGAACTCAACAGCCCCTCCAAATCCGCGAGCTTCACGCCTGGCAAAATTTTCTAACATGCTCAAAGCCCTAAATAAAGATCCTGAACCTGAAGACAAGTTTAGGTTTTAGGGCCTGAACAACCCACTAATTACCTGGAAGGCCTCTGCATGTAATCAGATGGCTTGTTTGGTAAGGACCCAAAACCTCCGCCCCTACGCCTTATAAACACTATATACTTATGCCCGAAGTCTGTAAACCCTAAATCCTAAGTCCCGAAAGCCTAAACTTCCTCCAAGAAACACGCTGCTCAGGCAGCCTGAACATCGAGATACCATCCGATGCACTGCCTTTGTTTTTGAGATTTGGGGTTTGGGGTTTAGGGTCAGGCTTCAGGTGCGGGCACCTGATTCCTTTAGGCTGTACACCCTGAAGCGGAGCGCCAAGCTCAAAAACATTGACTGGTTGGGGCTTCTAGGCCTGGACCGTGAGTTGGAAGCTGGGATTCATGGTTTTGCTAACTAACCCTAGGGATCCAAGTATACAAGAAAAACACCCAAAGTCTGTAAATGTTACCTACATTGGGCTATTTGGATCCCTAGGGTAAGCTAAGATGCTCAATCCCAATACCCCCAACCGCTGCCACTGCTTTGCTTGTCCCTACATGGACAGAGGCGCGCACTGGGTGGTTGCAACTGCCGGTGTGAGTGCTGGCTCCTACTTAAACATATAATCATATATAATGTAGTAATTTCCATTTTCTTTTCCATTATCCCCAAATAACCCCATAAACCCGAATATTACCCCAGTGGGAAAACCTGCATGAAAGATCGGGTCCGAACAGTCTGAATGCCGGGAATTCTTCAAGTCTACTCGGGAAGCTGCTTCAAGGCCCTTGACTTCTGGGCCCGCCAAAAAAAAGGGGGCCAATAAACCGCGGAAAACTGTCGAATGTGCACAAGCAAGTAAACTCCTTGCCATTCTGAGAAGCCTCCATATCTGCTAAAGCTCCATCCGCGCCCCATACTTGCCGGTCCATGAATACTGAAAACCGGACAGGGGAGGCTTCAGGGCGCAGGGCTCAGGTTGGTTGATTTCTCTGAGAGAGAGAGAGTCTCTGCATGCCAAGGTACACGTCTGCAGCCACTCGAGTACTGTACCTCATCCTCAGCTGGGGTCAGAAGAGGCTAAGCAATTAGTCACAACCCGTCACCCAAAAAAGTGTGCACCACCCAAAGGCTACCTCCCAGTTCATCATCCCGATTGACACTAGAAAAGTCTGCAGAATCGCAACGAATGACTTCGGGCGCATCCTCCTCATTTGCCAAGTGCTGTTGGTTACGACCGGCCTCCTCAGACAGGGGAATACAGAAGAGTGAGCACCAAAGTCAGCAAAGCTGCGGCCAGGGGGGGGGGGGAAAACAGCTACTGGTGCTGGTGGCTTCTTCACGGCCCTACAGCGATCCCTACATAGCCTGCCGTTAAAGCAGACTGTGTTCATCCGCTTGAAGCACCCTAAAGAGGTCAGACTTCGTGGTGTAGCATGATTTGCCCAGTCCTCTTCTCGAGACTGGACCAGTAAAGCAGCCTCCACTTCCACCCTCCACAGCAGCGCAATTCAGATTAATCAGAAGTTTTAGAGCTCCCCTCACTGATTCAAAGCAGTATCCTGCTACTCATCGCCTGCGGCCTACTTATGAATGGAACCAGATATACGGCAACACCTTGTGTGGGACAAGACCTACTGCGCGCGACTCTCCTCAACCATTCTTGGAGGCTGTATAATATCCCCATGGTACCAAAGAGGCTTTGGCATGCTCATCCTGATTCCACTAGAAGGCTGCAGGATGGCTGCCCACCTTGACAAAGAACGCCGGGTGTCCAGGCGAACGGCGTACAGTAACAAGAGGATGAACAACAACAAAGCCTTGGCTGGTTGCTATAAGCACTGTGGAGGCAACAGCCCATTCAGAGGGGTCTCCATACCAGAGGTTTGCGAAACATTGCGAAACAGGGCCGGACTTGTTCCTTTATGAAGAGCTGCTCGACATGGTGGGAGCCTAGCCTCTCTGCTGCTGAGGGGCGCTGCAGGATACGATGCAGGGAACGTACGTGTAGGAAAGCCACTTGCCCTTGCCCAGATTCTCGAAACCTTCTGCGGAAAAGACCTCTGAGGCCGTGGAGCACTGTACCACTTTTATCAAAGTGTCCAGCAAGGCACCGAAGAGAGTCAGGTGAGTTGTTTGGCACAGGAGTTCTGGGCCATCGATCCCGTCCTCAACAGAAAGCAAGGCCAGGCCCCTCGTCGACCACGTTCCTTCGTCCTCATCCCAGAAAGCGCAGAAGGCCCCCGCACTCGTGGCAGGCAAGCGGATGTCAATGGGCCTTGTTTTCAGAACCAGCAAAGGCGAAAATCGGAAAATCCAAAAGGGCGAGGAAGCATCTTATGGCATCAAACAAAGCCAAACTTGTTTTTTTTCGAATTCGGGCTTCCTTGCCAGCGAGGTCAATGGGATTTCCCGGCCATCAGACCCACGGAAGGTAATGCTGACGGGTGGGGAGACCAGCCGGCGGCCCTCTGCATCCTGTCTGGGCATGCCCTCGGTGCTGTCTGTGTTGCTTAGCCTGGGTCGCTGTTAAGGAACTTAAATTAAGTTACCATAATGGGTATATGAGTATATATAGTAAATAATAGGGTTTCCCCAATATAGTAACTTAAATTAAGTTCCTTAACAGCAACCCAGTAGCTGGTCGGACAACTCGGCGGAGCCGACCGAGACGCTGAGCACTACGAGCCCGTCAGGGCTCCCCGAGGCCGCTGCGGCCTGCTTTAGAACGACCCTGGTGCTAGGTACTAAATGCAATCCACTAGTCCGGTAGTTCTTTTCTATTCGGAACCTGTTCTTCAGTCACTAGCTGAATGAGAATCCTGATAACCCTGTCAGGTCCTCACAACTCGGAGGTATGCCTCCCCTGCCTCTTGGGTTGTTGTAGGGACGATGCTGGCTTTACTTGAACGGGAACGTACTGGAGTTTAGCCGAATTATAGAGGAAGGTTCTGGAAACTACTTTTTCTCCTGCGGCCGCTAAGCACGAATCATATGAGGAGTCGCAGGTGTATAAATCAAAAACAAAGCTTGAACCATTATCAACACTAAGGTTCTGTGCTCCTTGTCTAGTTATGATACAAGGTGCCTCAAGCAGACCTCAACATAAAATTGGTATAATAGCTACCGTGCTTAAGCCGTCTTACACACACAGCTGCGACTTCATCCCTGTATGACCCTACAAGAGCAGAGCGGAACCTGGGCAATGACATCCACCGGCACCTCGAAAAGCACAAGCAGGACTTGGGATGTTCTTGGAGAACATATGCTATCAAAAGCGGTTTCCATTTGTGTTTTCTGTTATCCCAATATCTTATAATATATCATAACGTGATATGGTCTTGTATCTTAGATAGGAGTATGCATGTATCCTGTCGATCGGCTGCAGACCGCATTGCTGCATGCCCTGACACAGCAAACAGGCAGCAACACTGCTCGGGCGAGAGTGCCAGCATGATAGCGTATCCGGATGCAATGAGTCTCACTTGTTTCTGGTCCCGATAAGCACATCCTACAACCTGTCTGAAGCCTACATTTGGGGGAGTTCCCAGCATTAGGGGTGACTTTTTGGGGGTCCAACAGTAAGTATTACAAATATACTACATTATATTGGGGTCTATATTGGGGCCCCCCTTATATAGGGAAACTTTGTGGTGGACTTAAACCCCAAATCCTAAACTCTAAACCATTAGGAATGCGTTGTTGTTGTTGAGATGCTTTGACTTGTGCCCTTTTACTGCGCGGACTGACCAGCTGGCTGCCAAAGACCAAGAAACCAAGTTGCAGCTCTCATGGCTCCCCCAAGTTACTTTCTTACCTTTTCTTTATGTTTGTTTCACCTTTCCCAAATCACCTTTTTTCCACCTCTACCTTTTCTTGGCTACCTTTAGTTTACCTTCATTTCACCTTTGTGAATTATCTTATATGCCCCAAGAAATACAGATCAGTCATAACCCAAGTAGGCCAATCTAGATATCATCAGGGTTTAGGCTTTATAGGTTTTCGGGGTTAGAGTTTTGATCTCAGTCGACTTCAGGGCTCAATGCACATGTGCTTCTTAAAGGGCTGACATACAGGGCGTCCTACAGCCAGAAGCCTGTGGAGCAATATCTCGTTCCCTGAAGCGAAGCAGCAGCTAGGCTCCGATAACCCCTGTTCAGACTACAGGGTTTAGGGTGTAGGGTTTAGGGTATTAGGGTTTACAATCCTTGGGAAGCTCTAGAAACTCCCGTGTAGATAACCGGTAAGTACATCCCAGTCGCACTCCACTTCAAAAAGAGGCGAAATGGCCTAAACCCTAATCCCGCCAGACTAATTCCTGGAGCTTGAGGGGGAGTGGGGGAGTGATTGCGGGTACCCTGACAGGATTGTATAGGGATTATTATGCCATCCACTCCCCCAGTCTCCCTTAAGCACCAGTAAGACTAGCGCGGACGCCCACAGTTGGCCTCAACGCTCGCATTCTCGTTGAGCACCGTCAAGTTACGGTCGAGGTTTTGGAGGCTGAAGCTGTTCCTTTGAGAAGGTGTCTCTTGTTTACTGGGTTGTTGTTAAGGAACATAAATTAAGTTACTACAACAAGGAAACCCCATTATTCACTATGTTACTATCTACCCATATTATGGTAACTTGATTGAAGTTCCCTAATGGCAACCCGGTTTAGGGGAGTAGGAGTTCACATGAGGTTGAGGGGTTTGGGGGTGCAGCTACATAGGGTTAGAGGTTTGAGGGCCCAGGCTTGGGGGGGAGATGTCAGTTCCAGATTTCCTGCTCCCAAGCAGTGTACCAACCCTAGCAGGTTCAACATTGGGAGCACAGGGAAATGGTTGCTGAACGCCATCGGCGCCCACAGAAGTCTTCGCAGGTTTTTCCGATGGAGCAGTCTCAGAACTTCGCCCAAAATCGCGCTCCCCTCCAGAGCATCTTCTGGAGATGAGCTTCGGGAGCCGATCCTGCGTGGAGCCTCCTGGCCACATGGGGTTCAGCTCTCGACAGTCCTGTTCCTGCTCATTGTCAATTGAAAGCTCTGGCGTCTGCTTACAATACAGCTTACTGGTACTTGAGGACGAGTGGAGGAGTGGATCCCTATAATGCCCCCTATTTACTGCCCATGTGCAGCCCCATCATCCCTGTCATGGTCCCTCTATTCACTCCCCCACACCCCCTTACGCACCAGTGAGACGGGGAAGGCCAAACCTGTACCTGGATGCTCTCGTGTTTGGCGTCCTCGCAAGTTGCCTCGAAATCGCGCTCTGCCATAGACAGTTCTCGCGCTTTGGCTCGAATGCTATTGGAGGGGGTGGGGGAGTGCTCTGTCACTATTTGGGGGTCAACATCAGTGTACTTTGCGATGTATACATATGATAAGGTACTTGGACTTGCGCGAAGGCTGGTGAGCCTACCATCTACACCGAAACAAGCTCAGCAAGGATCAGGGCTTCATCTGCGTTTTAGTGTTGAACGTGCGAATCTTTGCAAAAGTGCCTAGGTTGCCCTTCTGCTTTTTCTTCATGGTGTTGGGGAGTTCAGCCTTCCCGGTTATCTTGCTCGTCCTATCTATTTCTGAATGCTGCGGCGGATCTCAAAGACATCAGCACACTCAATCCCCTCCCCCTAAAAATAACCACCTCGCCCCCGCTAATAATAAAAAATCTCATTAGGTGGTATGTTATTAAATGTATCCATATATATATATGTGTATATATATATAAGGGGGAGGAAATTACAGTACTTAATCCTGCTTCTCCCTTGCAGGGGTTCGTCGACGCAACCTTTACCCCAAAGCTGCGCGAGCAAGGTTCCGCCTCAAGCCCAGTAACAGGGTTTAGGGTTTAGGGTTTTGTATACTCTAAGTGGCTGTTACTAGGGAATAAGCATTATGGAAAATAGTTTTATCGGGATTACTATGGGTCTATACGGGGGAGCTAACCCTGAAACAGCTTAGGCATCAAGATCTAGACTGGGTCTCTTACTAAGGGTTAGTAGGGAACAAGGGAATGTGCTGTATAGGGATTTAGTAGGGATCCTATTCCCTGATTCCTTACTAGCCACCAGCAAGGTATTGTGGCCGTGGCGCAGAGCCAAGATCTGCGTGCTGCCCATGTTGGACCTCAAGCTTGTTTTGAATGCACAGGGTAAGGTCAGAGGCTCGCATTCGCCTGGCTCAAGAAGTACGCTTTTTTTCTAGCGATGTGTTAGGGTGAAGGTACATGAAGGAATTACCGAAAACCCCAAAGGAGCTTAAATGATATCAGTGAGGAAGAAGATGACCCATGTGTACTTATCTTTCGGGCTGCCTAGGCCTGGTGCAGGTGGTAGTGCCTTAAAGGTGTGATGCTTTTACTCAAGAGCTTATGCAACACGAAGCCAGTCCAAGTGGCTGTATCGAACTGGTGCCGAGAATGCCCGTCTCGTTCGAAGAGCCATTTGCTAAAGTTAGGCTGGAGATCAGCTGCCTGGCAAACTCCTCTTCGGAGCTGGCAAGGTCGTTGAGCAGCTTTGCAACAGGGGCGTCTACGACCACTTCTGATGTTGTCCTGGTTGAAGTGGAAGTAACACTTGTTTTTGCTATCAAGGAGGTGCTGGTTGAAGTTGCTGGAGAAGTGAGAGTTGATGATCCTGTCCAAGAAGTAATCGTTGATGTGGGTGTATATGTTGAAGTGCTGGTTGAAGTTGGTGTGAAAGTGGGAGTTGATGATCCCGTCGAAGTTGCTGATCCCGTCGAGGATGTGCTGGTTGAAGATGGTGTAAAAGTGGGAGTTGATGATCCCGTCGAAGTTGCTGATCCCGTCGAGGATGTGCTGGTTGAAGATGGTGTAAAAGTGGGATTTGATGATCCTGTCGAAGAGGTGCTAGTTGACGTGGCTGTGAAGGCGGTACTTGTTGATGTAGTCGAGGGAGCGCCGGTTGAAGTGGTTGATCCTGTTGAGGTGCTGGTTGAAGATAATGTGAAAGTGGCAGTCTTTGACTGGGAGGAGGAGGAACTTGAAGTCACCGTGAAAGTTGCTGTGCCCGAAGTTGTGAATGTCGAGGTCGATGAACCATTATACACCTCCGAGGTATTGTCCACGTCCCAGTACCACAGATCGTCAAGTAGCCCTTGTGAATTGTACCCACCAAACATGTAGAAACGGCCTGCAGGGTCATGGATGATTTCAAAACTAGGCCCAATTTTATACTGCGTACACAGAGAGACGATGCATGGTTTTCAAAGTGGTGCACAAAACCTTTGAAGACCCCCGCGTGCCATTTTTTCTTCGTGCATGAGTAGGCTCTGATGAATTTCAATTTGGCATAGTTCAAAAGCGTACAATGTCCTACAACCTGCGGTGCCTAGATTTTTCACAATAGCCAAGCAGCTGTTGTCGGCGTCGAATACCGCAGCGCCTGCTGCAAATCTGGGGTCTGTGATGGATGACTGAATATCAGAAATACACCCAAAATATGTGAAAGCTGCAAACTTTGAGCCCTCAACATGCAGAGATCAAAAT